AGAAAATATGTGTAGTCGTACGTTTGATTCATTTGGTAAATATTTTGTCAAAGACCTATCAAGGCTTATATGATAGAAAGATATAAGTATTCGAGCACAACTCGGCCAATCGAGTGCATTTCCTGCTGTTTCACCACATCAGATCAGCGTGTACGGTCTGTTCGGACAGCCTTAACAGGTTCTACAAACATTTCTGTCTTACACCTCACAGATATCTTAATAGCAAGCATACCATCTTGTACGTGACAGAGAGTTTTAAATACTATGTGCTCGCAGTTAATTATGCTAGAGTTTTCACTAGTAAAAAAAAACAAGCAGACATGCAGCTGGTTTCTACTAATTCTGGTTCTCTTCTCCAACCACCTTCAACGTGTACATTCTCTCCTCGGGGTTATACGTGCAGGAACCAGTTGTTAAAGGTCCTGAATTTAGCAATATGTGCTAATCACGTGCGTACAACTTGAAGATGCCGTGCGAATTAAACTGTCGTTCCTTAAAACACACCCTGAAACCTGGCGCACTACCTTTCCAGACAAACGTAGAGCTTTCACAAGAAATGCAAGAAACGTAATTTCTGCTCTCAGTTACATTATTGGGTACTTGCCAGGAGGGCGTAATTCTAGGGTAAACCTTGAGTTTCGACCCTGGAGGTAAACAGACGACCATTGGCTTCGTCAATTGTCGAGGCTTTTAAAATGGTATCAGATAAACGTGAGGCATCTCTATCGGCTCAACTGATCTATGACCATATTTGTGAATGACGCAGTGATCGAGCAGATTTAACACAGCAGTGTCAAACTAGTTAACTGTCGAAATAATCCACTATAGCAGCATAGTGGTAAGGACTCCAGTGCATAATTGAGAGCTTGAGTCACATTTGCAGTAATCAATCTGGCTGGCTAGGCCTGGGTAATCTGGTACTATGCAGCCCGTCCATAACTTTGTGTCGTGTGACAGTAAAACCTGAAGATATAATTGACCCGTAATATAACCGAACAGAGTGAACAAACGGTAATTAGTAAACTGGTTCAAATACATGATTAACTTTGACGCGTCAGATACGGAGGACCGGGAGCTTCGAATATATTCATCGTTCTGTTTTTGATCCGCGATACCTTATAGACAGTAATAGGTAAAACAATTAGATAGACAAAGTTAAACACTGCTGCACCAATCACATCTCGCTTTCTAGATGTTTAAGTGGCGATGGATTGCACCCGGGACTACCAATTATTGTGGTCTACAAACGGCCGTCTTGGAACCTCGGATTACAACTGTCAAGCTATATGTTGGGTATATTACTTGTGGATAAAAAATTCTAGTTTCATAGAATCATCGATAACAAAGTAAGCTATATAAAAGACCGACAATTGTCCAGGTAACTGGAGTCGGTCCATTCTTATGTTAAATTTTTACGTAAAACAGATAACGTAAACTTTTCAGGGTGTTTTCCGGATATCTACCTAAGCTCATTCACGAAAAAAAGCCCAGATGATTGAATAAAACCTGTAAGTTTGCCTAACATCGCTATATCAACTGAGCTTATCCTGACTATACTCACTGTTACAGCCCGTTCCCTGATATTGTGCAATGTAAACGAATTTTCGCAAATGCATGTTAGCTAGTGCCAAATTGAATAGACTATTTTGTTCGTAATTGAAAAAGTGAACTAAACCCATGCACACAGGTGTATGAACGAACATTTTACAGAGATGTATAACCTTTGTTTCCACAAAAGCCTGCGAAATAAACAGACTCCTGTAAAGTTGAATATAACGCTTGTTACAAATACGTATTCAGAAGGAGGTCGATTTACCATCAGTGGGATGGTCTCTAATGATAGCTGGCTATATCCGGTTCTTTTCGTTATGAAAGAGTGATGAGATAGTACACTCAGACGGAAATGAGCATCATCTATCAATGGACAAGGATTGAAACATCAGATTATCTGCCAGTTTTTCTAGTAAAGTTACGTAAAACTACAGCAGTGGGAGTGAAAGATTCTTGGAGTTCCAAAAAGATAGTATGATCAAAGGCTTGCTAAATGTTTGACTTATTTCACAGTATATTGTTCTGTTTTGTAACAGAAGAATAGTTCTTTCCGCACCTTCCTCTGGTCATCACATTATCACACATCTATAAGGTTCTAATCTTCACACAGCTACTTCAAATAACAGGACATACGTATTGTTGGTTAAAATCTTTTTTCAGGTCAACTCAGAAGTCCACTTCACACGACCGACAAAGTACAGAATGTAGACTCAATGCACGGTGATCAGAATATAAAAATGTCACCTATTTAGAGAAAACGATACAAAGGGGACATGCTTTGAAAATCCAAAGAAAATTCAGAGTGAACTAGGGTATCCAACTGGTCAAACTTAAAGTCACTATGATCACTGAAAGTCACCCGTCTGTGTCTGTATGCTGGGGGTGATGGTGTGAAGTACTGAATGTCTCAGGAGTTGTAAAGCCTGATGGCAGTCTACAAATAATCGACTGGGATGTTGTTAAAATCCTCGGCACGAATGTTTTGACTGGAACGTTACAAAAGACCCAAAGTGCCTTTGAGCGATAACTGCTCGAGAAAAAATTAACACGGCTGCCTAGATGATTGACTGTAACTCCGCTTTTGATTCACAAAAGCCTAGTTTTTCAATGGATATACTTTGCTGTACAACAGCAGGAAGTGAAAGACTACGCTGATCAACGCTGGGTGGTTGTAGACAGGTAGTTTGACACTTAGATTGAATATAAGCCAGGTGTAGTGAGGAGGAGCGATCGTACTATACTACTGTGGGAGGAAATACTTCCGTTCATTCTGTTGGCCCACCGCTGTTCGCCTCAGTAGACAACAAAGAACTCGCCGTCCGAGCCAATATACGGGCGCGTTCCACGCCTGCCAGTCGACCAAGAGACTGGTTTATAGAGAGACCGACGGATGAGCACACGTGAATTAACAGAGGCGCGGAGAGTGGCCAACCAAAACTTGGGAAACGCGCAAGAAGTTTCCAAGGAGTAGTCAACTGCTGTGTTTGAAAATAATTTGAAGGTTAATTACAGAGACAGGCGGAGTCCAGGTGCAACAGGACCCGGATCCAGAAAGTTCTTGGCAAAGTGAAGAGGACCTTATGTGGTAGTGGACCGCCGTGACCCAATGTATTTGATTAAGAATGAGAGGAATCAATATGGAGTACAAGGAAGCCAGCTTTGTAAATGGTACGACACCCTGATCAGAAGAGAATGCACCCCAGGAGCATCGACTTCCCCGAGGCCGGTACGCAGATCGTCGAGAAAACGAAGAGAACCTGAAATGCTTTTGTTGCAGCTGGAACAATCTTTGCGGGGGGAGGAGTGTAGTGAGGAGGAGCGATCGTACTGTACTACTCACACCATTGCTGTTCGGTAGTGGGGAGCTAGAGCATAAATTTTGACTTTGGAGCAGCTGCAGGAAGAATACAGTAAGAAAAATCGGAATGCGGCATCGCACGAAATGGTTCTTGGTACGCAAGTGAACTTGAAGGAACTGAACATTGGTGTCTGTGAGAATCGTGACTTCCTGGGCCCAGTACCGTACTCAGATGAGTGTTTTTGTTTGTTGTCTTGTTATAACGTGTAACCCACGTGTTGGTTTCCTGAATAGATAACCCTTGTGCCATCCAAGTTCTCGGCTCACAACAGTTTTTTCCGTTTCAAGTCCTTTTATCAATTTTTCAACACGGTAGTGAACTTTTTTCCTTCTACGTCACTGTTATGCTGAGCGGCGGCCCAAGCCGCAGTATCTACTGGTCAGACTCATTACTGGTGCAAATGAATAAATGAATGATGCTTGATTTTTTGGGATTAAAAAGCACATTATTCATGGATAAAAACTGATGTCACAAGTTCAATAATCGGTGCAGCTGTGTCAAATCTTGTCATGAGTAACCATCTTGTAAACTTGTCAAAAGCAGCCCAGTTATTCTATAACCTTCTTACCGATCAGACCAAGTAAGTGTAGTAAACGACTTTGGAAAAAGGTTGAATCGATCGTTAACAGATTGGATAATCCAACGAGCTGTTGAAAAAGCAGTTCGTTCAAGTCTTGTGATTTCTCTGGTTTATAGAATTATCCAAAATTCTCTTTCATCCATACTCACACAGATCGTTGACCATTTTCAGAACATTGAGTGATTATTATGATTTTGATTTTACTTAATGATTTTGATTCTTCATAATTGCACTGACCCGTTGATGAATTGTTCAAAGCATGCGCCCTGGAGCCGTAACTATCACTCATATATAGGGTTGTTTTTCAAGTTATCTTGAACAAGTGTAATGATGCGATAAAAACACATCAGCTGCCTCGCCTCTAAAAAGTCTGTTGGGAGTGATGCATCGTGCCTCGAATGCGTGAAAAAGTTTGCAGTCTTGACGACAACATTCCTAAATATCTTTGTCCTGAATAGCGAGAAAATTAAATTACCCAAAACGGCTAAAAGAAATATCTCCATAACAAAATTGCTGATCAACGCGTGCAAGTCATTAGGGGGGCGAATGGATTCCAAGTTTTCATAACTGATTGCACACAGCCTAAGTTAGTCGTAACCACCCATGTGCTTGGTCAGTGGATCAAATTGGCTCGAAGTGGCTTTCGCCCTAACGCTAATAAGAAGCACTCCAAAACAAATAATGCTGTGAGTAGAAAAAGTAATCAGAGGATCGGGCAAAGTATAATAAAATGGAATGGCTAACAGGTATTCAAACGGCTATGACAGGCCTTTATTTAGAAATAACGTTTCCGATTTGTGGTTCTGACCGCTTCCCCCATTAATTACCTCTGATTTTCAGTCTAAGGCACAAACAACACTGATAACTTTATTTTGCTAACGAATGTGCTGTGCACCATAAGTTGATCTCTGAAACAACAACTCACTCAACCTGTCGTGACAATGGCCGCGGAACATCTGGTGTGTTTCAATTGTAAGTTTGTTATCAACTTGAAGATGAGCTCCCGGCGTGGCTTCGCAGCTCAGCTGGTAGAGCATTTGCAGCGTTTGAGTATGTTGTTTCTATCACTGGTTCGAATCCAGTCGAAGTTCAAATTTTTCGCAATTGGTTCTAAATTATGCTAAGTTGTCATGTTAAAAATCTTACAGATGTGAACTGGTGACTATTAGAACGTACAGTATTGCGGGCACATCACTGTCATGTAAATAACAGTAGTGATTTCACCAAAGGAGCATCTCGCAAGAGAATGGCGGTTGCTTGTAATGAAATATAACAGTCCTTAAGGATACTGTACACATACGAAGGATCAGTCCAACGTTTATGAACACCCTCTAGAACTAAATGAAAGCGTAGTCGTGTTCCGGTGTCACTTACAGCCAAAAAAACAGTTTGATGACAACCTAAAGTTCATAAGTTTCTTTTTTTCACATGAGGTGATGCATTTTCGATACTAGAAAAATGTGTACTTCAAAATAGTCATGTCGACTTTTAATGCTTTCTTCAACTGATCACTTTACGTAAAGTTCTACACAGTTGAAATTAGTATCGCTGAAATGTTCGTTATAATTCTCTCGAATGATGGCACATCTAATATTCATGAATATATGGTAAACCCGATCAAAAGCACAGCGAAGTTAATGTATTCCGTTGAATCACAATAAATATACCGTGTGACACGGGCGAATAGCTGGTACAATGGTTTAAACTTCATTTAATTCGCACAGAAATGTTTTTGTATACAGAGGCACTTAGACTGTTGAACAAAAATGACATGACACGGGATTGAAAAATATTTGGTACAGGCAGACCAAATATGGTAATCTCTTGTACTCAGCGTAGTCCAGCGAAATCGAAGTGGATGCTTAACCTTCATACACCGTCTGTACGGCCCACTCACGTGACTATTACTGTACGATTTTCAATAAAGTGTTCAGTAACGTAGGTGATTACGCGTTGCAATGAGAATGAACTGGAGGGGTTTCATGAATGGAGAACGTTCAGCTAATTAGGGATTACGCGTAGGCTGTTGCAAGCGTAACTGTCATCGCCAGCCAATCAAAACGGTGACCGTCAGTCACGTCGAATTTGTTTGTAAGAGGTGGTAATTAAAACAAGTTATCTGAATTCGTATGCGATTCAAACAACCCAACTGCACCAATCGAGGTCATAGAAAGAAATAACGAACGCGTCAATCAAAACGCAGTATGCTCGACACTCAATAACTTCCAATATGGTAAATAGTCTTTTTTCAATAAAAATGGATTTCTTTTTTTGATAACTGCCTATTGTCTTTCAGATCCCTGACACATTTTTTCGACGAGGTAGCCAAGTGCTCGACGATTAATCTCCCAACATTTCTCACAGGCTATCTATCAGTACGTCGTTTGGTATACTTACTATAACTCAACAGAATAAATTAACTTGGTGTGGATTCCACTCAAATGTGCTTTGTCATGTTAAACATTCTTGAACAAGAAATTACATGTTCAATTATGTGTGTAAAATAGTCTGAACAGAACACAAAACAAGTATTCTAATGATGCTTGATTTAACTCTGTGGGACCGTTCTTTTGTGCGTGTGACTGAAGAACTCATCAAATTGCATGTCTGGTTGTTCCAGTGTATTCGTGTTGAAGACTGACTTGTGCAAAACGCTTGTTCCAAAGTTACCCAAATGTGGAGGAATCAAAGTAAGCACATGTCTAGGAAAAGATCGATAAGATACATTTTCCGGGCTTCGTGAATTAATGATTCTACAAAAACACGACTTGTTTGTGTTCGCATTGAGAAGGAAACGCATGTCGCCTGCGGCGCAAGTCATGTCTACTAATTGCCATTAGGAGGATAGCGAATTGTTGTGTTTCTGCAATTATTTCCTGCAAATGTGATGGATGACCGAGACGGTGAAGCAAATATTCACTCTGTGATATCTCAACTTGGTAATTAGGTGCCGATAAAACTCATGATAAGTAGATCACAGACAACACGAGAGTGGATGGACGGAAGTGATGCGAAAATCATTACCTAACTCCATGAACTCATCAGAAATGATTATCTTGGGCGACCGTCTTAATCGTTGGACACATGTCGCTGGTTTACATCAGCAAGGCTGAACAGAGATCCAGAACCGCAACATATCAACTAGCAGATGCATTGTATGGGATAATCAACAAGAATCAGTGCGTTGTTGATGTGGAAAAGCTGTGACAATGGAATCTGATTTATAACAGTTTTAGGATTAATAGGATTTTTCCACTTCATGTCCCGTCACGAGATGTAATTGAAGAGTATGCATTTCTGTTAAATAATTACTTATAACGATCACTTTCGATGCAAAAACTCTTGCATCAACTCATGTTTAGATATTGTTTACAAGTAATTAAGCTTCCTTTAAACCTCGTGGTGGTGCCAGTCTGAGAATGGAGTCCGTTCGGCTGGCACATGCCGTTGGCCGTAGGGCAGCAGAGTAAAACTTCATATTAAACTTTGACACCGTACACCTTTCATGCAGCCAGTTTATCAAGAGAATTACCCTGCGAGAACATAGACAACACTAAACGATTCGAGGGTTGGGTGTTGAGTTATACTATCAGGATACTGTCACGAACCATGACTCACGTAAAAATCTTAAGGGGTATAACAACTCCATTCAAACTGGCTTGCCCTAACAGAAGCAGGTGTAGGCCCAACAAACGATTTCACGTTAAAGACGGTGTGCACAGACAGTCACTGTTGTGCCCTATTATGTGTGCTGATATGGGCTTGTGTGTATCTGTTCGGCAGGTCCGTTTACATGATTCGCTGTCCATAGCACGGTTGTGTGCCAGCAATCATACGCTTGTCTTTGTCTGATTGGATTTGTCATATCACCTTCCAGATTGGACAAGCGAGTTTCGACTTGCTTACGCTGCTATGTTGACAATGTACGGTTGGTGGCATCCGAA